TTTTGATTTCTCCTCCAGACAGCTGAAAAGTGAAGAGAAGGGAGGGTCGTTAGCAGTAGAACCAGGGTGGGGGCTGTGGCTGGAACAAAACCTTGGTCAGTGGCTCTGAGAATGGTCGGCTGCAGCCCCTATAGCGCTGGCTCCTTCCTTCCAGCCCGGTCCGGCTTAAGCACCACTTTAAGTGGTCCCGGCATTCACTGGCCAGCCCCTCACCGCAATTGAGCCGCAGGGGTTTGAAAAGAGGGCCAGGGCCTCAATGACAGGACCTTGGGCCAGGCTAATTGGTTTTGGTTCAAGGGGATACTAGATTTGTGAAAAGCTCCAAACCGCCTTTCCCACGCCAGAGCCAGGTCACAGCATCACCGAGAAAGGTTGGAAGAGATTGGGGCCAGAGGAGAAGTCTTGGAGCCAGGTGCCTAGGGCTGGTCCTCTTGCACTATCCGAAATAGCCCTCTGCTTGAAGAATAGGGGGTTGTGAGGGGCCTCAGCAGCACCTGTGTTTAGGGACAGCCTGGTCGTAGAGATAGTCACCCAGCACTCCTGGGCTGTGCCAAGAAAATGGTCTCCCACCTCTTACCCTTTGGCTAACCCTCCTTGTGAAGAGGTCCCACTTTCCCTGCTGGGGTCATTCAGAAAACAAACAAACAGAAATGGTGGTGTAATAGTTCTCATCCCAAGGGCTAGACCAAACCTGGCCTTTGTTCTGAGACTATACTATAGTTGGTCTCAAGAAGACCCACCTGTCCCTTGATATGTCTCTAAACTATCTTGAGCACTGACAGACATTTCAGAAACAAGAAACAGGAAGTCCTCAGTACTTGAAAAAAGTAATAATAAAAGTGGTGATCCAAAGGTTTCTTTACAGTCTCAAAAACCAAGCATTTATTGTGATATGCTTTAAATCTAGTATGACTGCACAAAGTGTCTTTGTAAATTCTTTACAGTGTGTATCTCAATACCTATGTGTTTGTACCAAATGGTATATAACATACCCATTCTTAAGTGCACATATGCACACATTTTGTTGATATGTAGGATTCTACACTTATATTAACAGTCATGGGAGTGTGCTATAAGAGTCAGCTTTACTGGATTTTTTCCTTAATACTATGGATGCTATGGAGTGCTCCACCACAGAGCTACATCCCTCCTCAGGCCCTATTTAAAGTGACAGTGCATCCACAAAGACCTGTATGTGACCCATTGTGTCTATGGAACATTCCAATGGGATCAGGAGCTGAAGAAACTGCCTCCCCCAGTCTTCCAAATTTTGCCCTGTGTTTGCCCACGTGAAGCATATGATCAGGAGGGAAAAGGTACTTGGGAGAGATAGAGAACTCGATGTATTCCATTTTCTATTTTTATTTCTATTTTTAATTGCCCAGAGCCTAATTTCTCTGGGCCTCTGTTGATTTGCACATTGGAGATTCATGTGTAAATATGCATGTGGCATGTATGCACGCCTGGGCCTTCTTATCACCAAGTGTGCGTTCTCGGTGTTTAAATACACACAATCCACACCGAGGCATGATTATGGGCTTACTATTTGCCTCTTCTCTAGAATCGGGTTAATTTTCCCTTGGCTAATCCTCAAACCCATTAAGTTCTCCTCTCCCCACCCCCACACACAAAAAAAAACCTGCAAACCCTACTACAGACCAGTGGGCTTGCCCTGCTTCTCCAGCAGGCAGCTCTCCAGGCAGGGTGCTGGAGTGAAGGTCCCTATTAGGCAGACTTCATTAATGTTACCAAATATACCCCGGCACATTTACTCGTCTACTATGAAGTATTATCATAAATAATTAAAATTAAACTGCACTTGTCAAAATAAATGAACAAAGTAGAGTTAGTGATGTCTTTGCTTTGATTTGCTTGCTAGGGGTTTGCTTATTCACTAATTTGAAGAAAAGAAGAAAGGGAAGGAGGAAAGAAAGAACAGAACAGACTGCCATGGGAAGGGCAGAGCCGTGGAGAGAGGAGAGGAAAACCCCTCAGTCATCTGCCATTGGGTTTCCAGTCATTAGGGCACTCTGGGAGGCTGGAATGCAGCCTCAGACGTCAGCTCATAATGAATATTGAGGTGTGGATGTGGAAGGGGGGACTTCTTTGTTTACTGAGGAATGGCCATGGGAATGGGGGAAGAGGATTGCCTTTGGGGATTAAGGAGTGGGCTTTGTTTTTATGAAGGGCCTTACTTCTTTTCTGAAGTTTTCTGCAGCTAATTGATTCAATTCAGACATTCCTCCTCCCCACTCGGCCAGCCAAGGCCTCGTGTTTGTGATGTGCACAGCCCTGTTTCCCCATCTGCTCTGGCCCCTTTCTCCACGGTGACCCCTGAAAAGGGGTGTGAACCTGCACATCAACCAGAAAGAAGCTCTGGAGAGATCAGTCAGGGGCCAACACCTTTGGGTGGATATGTGAGGCACACACACACACACACACACACACACATACACACACATTCCTAAAGGCATTATTTTCATCTGAAAATAGATTATAGGTGTACAATTCTGTGAGTTCTGACAAATTTACACCCAAGATAGCAGTTCCCCCCTTCCAGAAACTTCTCTCTTGTTTTTTCCCAGTCTGCCTGCTCCCCTCTCCCCAACCACCCTTTGAGGTCTCTGTCAGTTTTACCTAAATGGAATGTAAGCCAGCACTTTTAAAGAGGAATTCATTTCAAGTCCGGAGAGAGCACACTGTCCTTGGAGGCCTGGCTGAACATGTGCCCACGAATATGGGACTTAGGTCAAGCATTCTTCCCCTCAGATGGACCCAGAAGTCAAACCTGTAATTAGATGGGGGTGGGGGCCGGTTTGGGCTGGTCCTTCCACAGGACAGCCCTATTCTCACCCTAGGTCTGTTAATGAGCTGGGGACAGGTGAGCCTCACACATTCCAACTTGACTGCCTCCAGCGGCATCCAGGAGCTGCTGGTGAGCTATTAATGGAAGGTGCGGGCTTTGTGCTAATTAGACCGCCTCAGCTTCCATCTGTGCAGGCACTGGAGCCCCTCACTGGCCAGCCTCACCACCCCCACCCCAGCATACAGCCAAGTTCTGTTACCCCCATGAATTAGGGGGACAGTGAGCAGAACTGCTTCTGGCTGGCTTAGGTCAAATCCCTAGTCTTTGTGTGTTTCTGAAATGTATGGGATGGTGGCATTTCTCAGCCCTTCTCCCCCTTGTTAGGGTATAGTTGGATCTCAGCGAAAGTTGGATGGAAGTTTGGGACCCATGGCCACCCTCCAGGGTGGGTCAGTGTTGCAGGTCTGTCTGGGATTGTTTTGTAAAGGGCTTCTCTTGTCTGCCTCCTGGAGAGGGTGGCCCCAGTCCCTTGCTATTACTCCCCTTAGTCTGCATCTATCTAGTCTGGTCACTCCCACCCACCTCACCTCACCCTACAACTGCCCAATCTTAGCTGCCTCAGCCAGCCTAAGCCGAGAGCCATAGCCCTTACTTATCTGAAAACAACTATTAAAAAAAAAAAACCTTTAAAATGTATTTATTTCACTTCAGGCCTCATGGATTTAATTTTTGCCTCTTATAAACGTTTCATTGAAAAAAAAAACACGTCATGTCATTTAAAGAAAAAGCAGCTCTCAGAATAGGAGAGCTCCTTGTCTAAGATGAAGGAAAAAGAGGGGCATTTCTGAGAATGTTCTTTTTTTTTCTTTTCTTTTTTTAGCTCCTATAATCCCTCAGGGTGTGTGCAAAAATATCAAGCCCTTATATCAATGTATCTCTTATTATTCTGGTTGGGTTATCCTGCTAATAATACCGTTGTCAACGGTGAGAGGATTATTGGCCACGGTGGAACTTCTCCAGGTTCCCTCAAGAGTTTGGACCTACACTGGAGGGTGAACCCTGGAAGGGCTGCAGAAATCCCCTGCTTATGGGGAAGGTAGGACTGACTTGCTTGTGTGGCTTTTTCTGCCCCTGGAGGTGTTAATTCCTCATCTGAAGTTCTAGGGTTCAAGATTCAGAATCACGGGGGGGGGGGGACCCTCACATTCTAAATTTTAGAGAGGCTGAGCAGCTTGGACGGGGGGTTCTACTGTGAGGTAGGATTTTTTTCCCACAGGGTTTACTCTTTCTCTCTCAGGATATCCGTGAGGTGTGGTCTTCACCTCTCTGGGTGAAATGGGGGACAAAAGTACCTGGACCTACAGGGGTCATGTGGGATTTACATAAAACATACAGATAAAATCTCCGGCACGTAGTGGGCAGTAGTCAGATGGTAGCTCAAACGGCAGGGGGTGCACACATGTCTGGGTCTGAAACTCAGAACTTTCCCCCTGCTGAAGACAGAATAAAAGCCCAAATAGATGCTCGGAGCATCACCAAAGGGCCCACAGGCTGCCTTCCTCCCCCAGCTAGTGCCCTATCTGCTGAGTCCCAATGGCCTCAAAGAGCACCCCGTGTATGGGGGAGATCAGAGAGAGACAGGTATAAATTCTGAGCTTGGATGACTAACCAGGGGGGCATCTGTCTTGAGACATTTGAAGTCAGCAGACCTGCATTGACTACCCTAGTAAAGAAGGCTAGGGCTGGAGGCCAAGCCAGCACCTCCAGGAGGCCCGTGTTAGCTCTGGGCATGGAGCTGACTTTTCCGGAAAACCTCCAGGGGTCGAAGTTTCATTAGTTATGACACTGAGGAAAGCCAGGTTGTGCCTTGATTGAGTCGAACTCGGGCTTTCTGTTTAGGTCAGGAACACACATCCAGGTCCCGAGGGACCTCGCAGCGACAACCATGGGTGCTATGACAGAACCCCCACTCCATTCCATAGCAGATACCCAATCCGATGTTTCTCCCATCTTCCGGGTGGATGTGGTTAAAGCTCCGAGAAGTCAACATTTTCCCCAGGCTGGGGTCGTGACCTGGAGGACAACTGTGCCCCCACCTCCAGGCCACTGCCCCAGGGCCCTGAGGCTTCGAATGAACCGGACACCTTTCTAGGAGTCGGTGGCAAGCGCCCGACGTCTCCCGTCTGTGTTACAGTGGCTCACCGGCAGGTGCTCCAGCTTCCCGCCCGTCTTACCTGAGCTCTGCGGCACCTGCGCTGGCACCTATTGCCTCTCCGCGCGAAGGAGGACATGCCACGGCCACGGGAGAGGTGAGTGGCTGTAGCCAGGGAAGGAGGACCCAGCAGTGTCCCCAAAACGGGTCGGCGACCAGGAACGTCGGAAGATTCCAGGATCCCGCTGGTAAGGCGACTGCCTTTCTACCCGAGTCCCCTGGAAGGCGATCCCCCTTCCTCTCGAGGCCAGAATTCAAAGTCACCGTGCCCTCACGCGTCCCCAAGTGGGCGACGGCTTTAAAAATACACCTGCTAGCTCGTGCTCTGCAACGCGGTCCCGCCGAGCTGGTCGCGGAGCGCTTGCAAGCTAAGCGCACCGGGATGCTGGAAGGATTCTGGCCTCCGAGGTGGCTTCTTAGACCCGTCCGGCCGAAGCCACAGTCGCGGGCGGTGGCCAACCTCGGCTGGGAAAAGGCGCAGCCGCTTCTCCTCCGCCCGGGGGGTCAGGCTAGGCGCACAGTGGGGGTCCAGGGCCTGGTCCGGTGCGCTCACCCGCGGCGCCGACAGGGATCCCCGGCCGGCCTCACACCAGGTCTTCCCCGGGCCTACAGAAGTAGGCGACACCCGGCGAGGAAGACCCCGGAGCGCGGCCTGCGCGGGCACACCCGACGCCGGGTGCCGCCGGGAGGAGAAGCCGAGGAAGGGCCTTGTCCCCTCGGCCCGCACCGAGGCTCCGGAGGGGCCGCGCCGCGGGTCCGGGAGGCCATTTTGAGAGCGAGCAAGCGGCAGCAAGATGGCTGCGTGGGCACGAGGTAGGTCGCCGCGCCGCGGGGCCCGCCGAGCTCCTCCTCGCGCCAACCGGGCCGCTCGGCGGCCCATGGAAGCGGCGAGCTCAGGGAGCGCACCCGGCCTGGGGAGTCCTGGAGGCTGCCTGCCCTGGACCACTCCAAATATTCGACTCCCGCCCAGACCCATCTTCCTTTGCCCAGGGACCCTGTCCCCCAAGGCCGCAGTGACCTTCAGGGCTGCAAAGGAGAAAGCAGCAGGAGAAAGTGGAGTGCTACTGGGTTCCTTGCAGGGACACCATCGGAAGGGCCTTCTCCACCAAGCTGAGGAACAGGCCCAGCTGACAGTGGGTTTTGTTGTTATTTGTTTTTGTAGTTTGGACCCGCAGGCTCTTGGAGAGTTACTTCCCAGCGCCCACATTTCCTTGAAACTGTGATGCTGGAGGCGGTGAGCAGCCCCCCTCCATTATCCCAGCCCCTCGTGTGACCCCCCTGAGGCAAAGAGAGTCCAGAGCCCCAATGTGAGACCTTGTGAAAGTGTGGTCGGGGTTCAGGGTGACCTAGAGACCCCATTCTCACTGTCTTGGCTGGACAGAGACAGTTTGAGGATAAAGGTAGACAGATGGCAGCCATGAGACAGCATCTTGGCCTTGCCCTCTCCAGACCTCCGCCCAAGAGCCACACAATTTTAGGTCAGCAGTATCCTAGTGGGTTTGTGTGGGCAGAACTTTTCTTTCTCCTATGCCCCTATTCCATCAATCATTAGTCAGTCTGCCTTCTTAAGCTATGGGCGCCCTAAAGCAGGTCAGATACATGTGTTTGTATATAGAGCCACCATCCACCAAGAAACTTCAGTTATCAGTTTATGTTTGTTGAATTCTGCCTTGTGCCAGGCCTAAGTGCTTCATGTGAACTTGGACCTCCTTACGTAGGGTGATGACTCCCTTAAGTGACTCACCAGAGGGTAGGGTGTGGATCTCAGGCTAAAACCTGAGGCCTGGGTTCTCAGTTTGAGTCTCTGCAAGTGCATATACGTAAACATAGACACAATGATTTATCATGTCTGTTCTCCTTTCCAATAACCATCAAGCCCCTCCTGAACCCAAACCCCCTTCTTACTCAGCCCAACCTCACATCTGAGGACTCTCTTGTCACACTCCCGAATGTCTACCCTGAAGCCCTGGCTTAAAATAATATTTACGATTGGCTACTGTGGTTGCTCGGAGCTTCTTGACAGCCAAGACAAAGAGAGAATGGTGACTTTGTAACTCTGCTCAAAAAGGAAGCTTGTTAGTACCGGCCAGAGATAAACATTTTTCTGACCTCTGGTTTGTATAGAATTGATGTAGCTCAGTGGTGAGCTCTTGCCTATGGCTCAATACCCAACACCAGAAAAAAATATTAATAAAGAATGATGATTATGTAGGTTGAGTGCATATATCACAGATTGGGACATGAGCGCCCCAAAATTTGATTTTCTTTGAGGCCACTAAGTTAGTGAAACAAGGGCTAGGACCAGTCCAAACAAGGACCAGACTCCCCGTCCAGTCTTCATTCTCCAGAATCCAGGCTTTAGTGGCCTTCAACAGGGAGATGCTTTACTTGTGGCCTAACGTCCGCTCATCTTCACTATGAACTCTTTTGCCCCGGGTGCTGTCTCTTTCTTTCCTCAGGTTCCGGGTGTTAAGCTGGATTTATCATGGTAGGAATCTGTAAGCGTGTGGTAAACAAGACCTAATGCAAAACCTAGTGCTTGGTTGAGGGTGGAGGCAGAAGCCCTGACTGGGGGGGCGGGGGGCACTTTTACCATTGTAGAGTTCCTGTACCTAGTAATATAACCATAACCACCAGGGCCACCCCAGCAAATGGTGTGAGCTGGGGAGTGGATTTCCCCTCTAGGAGACTCCTGGCCACACTATCACAGTACTGGTCCTCACAGGAAAGGGTCATTTGTCCTTCACGGGCCTTGTCAGTGAAGCCTTCAAATTCCTCTAGTGAAGCAGGGAAGGTGTGTCTGAGTCCCAGTCCTGTCGTGCCCACCCCCTCCCGCCCCAATTGTTCCAGGAGATCTTCAGTCCTCTCCCATCCCTTCCCAGGTTTGGCTCCTGGGGCTTAAGTACACTCACTGGTCCAGCTGTGGCTCAGGTTAGGAAATGCCAGTGGCCCCCAAAAGGTGGGGTTTGAATCCTGGGCTTGATGACTGTAGGAACAGAATAGTTCAGTAACCCAGACATCTGTACCTGGAAAGTGTCACTCCTGAATATGGGGAGGGATGAGCTTCCTAGTAGGGAGCCCCTCTTTCCAGAGAGGCTTCCACAGATCCGGTCCCAGTCCTAACTGGGCAAAGCAGCAGAACTGGGACCAGTGTGCAGCGAAAGCCCCAGCTGCAGAGGAAAAACAGGGTTCAGCTCCCCAGATTAGTTACTGTCTACAAGGATTAAAGGCCCCAAATAATGGCCAGCTTCTCCCCTGCTCTGTGCCAAGGGAAGACATGTAAATACAGCCGCACGCCAGCTTAGGCAGTAGATGTGTATAAATCGAATTTAGCAAATCAGATCATGGTTTAAATGCACTATTTAAAGCAGTCCTGCAGTGAAGCCTTTTACAAAGGGAATAATCATTTTGTGATGCTAATCATCAGCCTCCAATTTATCTCCTTTGTAAGTTCAGATGTTGGTGCACTGGGTGTCCTGAAATCGGGGCGCTCTTGTGTGGGGCTCCAGCGATGGCTGTCTGCCTTCTTTCTCTGACCTCTCATTTAAAATGGGTGCATGTCCTGCTTCTCACTGGGGGCCTCAGGATGCTTGTCATTTAGCCTGATAGTTCTCATCCGTCCCACTCATCTTTTCATAATCTGATAGAGGACACCATTCAGCTGTTCCTGGCTCCTTTTCTGAGATTTTCGCTCTTCCTGGGGGGAGACACAGGCCCTGCTGTTCCCGGGCATTAGAACTAACTCCCTCTCTGATCTGAACCTCCTTTTGTTTCCTTGAGCTTCTGATACCTCTGTTGTTGATCATAAAGACGATTTCAGAGATGACTACATGACAGCCCGTCTCTGAATTTAGAAGGTGAACTAAATGCAGGCACCCCCTTACTGAATAGGCAGTGTCCAGAAATGTTCTCCCCATTTGCAGAGGGAAAAAAAAAAACCACAAAAACCCGAGGTCTGGGTGTTAAAGTGACTTTTTCCCACAAGTTAAAACCAGAACTCAAAGGAGAACCTGTCTCCTAATTGCTATAAAAGTGTTTTATACACTGAGCTGTAGTTCCTTTCTCTGCAGAGAAAATAAAATCAGACCATCTGGGTGGGAGAAGGAGAATGAAGAGATGGATCCGAGTGGAATAAAGGAAGTGGGCAGGAAGCTGGGGAGCTGTGAAGAGCCTGACCTTGCTTGGCTCACAAGCCCTGATATAGTGTCTTTGTCAATGCTGCCACTATTGACGCGTTCCTTGGTAATTATGACTGTGTGTTGGCATGGCGACTCAGAGTAAGAAGACTAGAGGCAGTGGGTAAATGCACGACTTGTTCTCGCCTTCTAAAGCAGAGAGGAGCTTTTGTGGGTAGTTCTTCCAGGGAGACGTGGTGGAAAATTCACCAGCCCCTGTGCTGGAGCACGGGTATTGATGCGCCATGGGAGCCAGGTGGCCCTGAGCAGGGTGACACAAACAGAGGGCCTCAGCAAGACTTGGGTCTGACACAGAGGTCTCCCAGAGGCCCCTCCAGTTCCCTTCTGCTGTCTTTGTTCCCCGGACTTGTAACGTCAAATGTACCCATTTCTACTCCTTTCTGAGTTGTCTCTATTTCAAATAGGTTGATGTTGCAGTGTCCCTGAACTTGCTTGACCATGCTGTCCTCTCCCTAATAGTCCATGGCTATGCATCTGGAAGCTGAAAGGGAAGGCTGGTAGGCCCAGATGTGAGGATGGAGTCTGGGGCTTTCCTTTCTTCTACCTTGGTGTCCTCTCCATCATAGATAACCTTGGCCATATTCTTATCTGAAAACAGGGACCTGCTGCTGGAGTCGAGCTGTATTGTTCTGTCCAGTGTGATACCCAATAGACATGAATGGTTCATCTCATAAATGTGGATGGTTTGGGTGGTTTGACACATTTAAATAATATTGGACTAAATAAAATATATAATTAAAATGACCTGTTTCTTCTGTCTTTGGACTGAGGCTTATAGAATTTAAGATTACATAGGGAGCTCCCCCTTACAGTTCTGCTGGAAATGGCTGATCTAAGCCGGGGGGTGGGGTGGAGCCCCCTTACAGACCTGACACTTGAACTGATTGTTCTGATCATCCAAGAGAAGTCTAATCACAGAGGTCTATGCATAGAGTGCAGGGGAAAACCAGGTGGAGAGTCTCGGGCCTGCGGGGGCTTTTAGGACAGCCTAGAAGAGCCCGTTAGGTGGAGATTACCCCTCAGTCCTTGAAGGTGGAAGTTGCGGCCTGAGTCTATGGGTGATATTGTATTTTTCAACATTTAAGGTAAGAGTAGCCCCGAAAGAACCTTTAGATAAAAAATTTTAGGTCAGCAGTACCCTAGTGGGTTTGTGTGGGCAGAACTGGAGCTGACAGGATTATTGTTCCAAAAGTGGGACCCACACCCCCCACTGGTGAATTCATATTTTCCCAAATACAGAGAAAGCACTAAACAAGGGAAGACAGCTGTGTGTCCCAGGATCACATCAAACTCCCTTTTGGCTAGGTTCCTTTCCTTGGAACATGGCTGGGGCTGCCCATCTCCTGACTGCCCCTCCTCCGCTCAGCCTCAGCCTATTAGCAAGCCCCAGCTTCTGGGATGCTCCTTGGCTCAAAGCCAGCATTTTCTTGGAGAGGCTCCTACTTTGGCTCCCTGCCAGGCCTCTGGTCTCCAGAGAGACCCCCCCCCCCCCAGGGAGGTGCTGGGCTCATCCTGCTGTCAGAGGGGAGAGGTCTGTTCAGCCTTCTCACCTTGGAAGATCCCAGGCTGTGGGCCAGCCAGGACACCAGCTCTGGCCTCTTTCAGAATCTTCAGTTTCTTACTGGGTTAAGGTCCTGCCAGCCTCCGTACTCTGGGGGTGGCAGAAAGTGGCTCCTCACTGGAGTTTGAGAGATGGGGGATGTAAATCCTAGTGAGTCATAGTGATGGTGGCACAAAGCACCCACCAGGTGCTTGTTCTGTGCCAGGTTCTATGCTAATCTTGGCACAGTGGGTCTCTGAGGCCTGGTTCAGAGTCAATATAATCCAGGGCCCACCCTTCTTTTCTTAGCCAAATGTCATATGGAGTGGCATGAGGTATGACTCGGAAGCTGTACTTCTTAGTAGCCTGACTAGGTTGTCATGAGGTCCTTGTTTCCCAAGGGATCAGCTGGGTCTTGGGAAGCAGCATGGAGTTGTTTGGGTTGCTAGAAGATGTCTCTGCAGCATCTCCTTCTTCAGGTAGGCAACACAGCTGAGTAAGCCAGATGGGAAAGCTCAGAACCAGGCCCCCAGGACCCCCAGTAAGAATCAAAGAGGTGGGAAACATCTCCTTGGGTCCTGGCTTGTCTTGGTATTGTCTGTCAGCCAAAGCCTTGCTGTGCTTCAGTTTATAAAAATCAGGGTGGTTAGCCCGGCGGTGGTGGCGCACGCCTTTAATCCCAGCACTCGGGAGGCAGAGGCAGGTGGATCTCTGTGAGTTTGAGACCAGCTTGGTCTACAAGAGCTAGTTCAAGGACAGGCTCCAAAACCACAGAGAAACCCTGTCTCGAAAAACCAAAAAAAAAAAAAAAAAAAAAAAATCAGGGTGGTTCCAGGACAGCCAGGGCTACACAGAGAAACCCTGCCTCAAATAGATAGATAGATAGATAGATAGATAGATAGATAGATAGACAGATAGGGACTACACAGAGAAACCCTGTCTCCAATCAATCAATCAATCAATCAGGACAGCCAGGGCTACACAGAAACCTTGTCACAAATGAATAAGTTAAAATAAATAAATAAGTTAAAAATAAATAAACGAATGTATAAATAAAGTCAGGGTGACCCAACTCCACCAACTCCCACAATTGCAAGAGACTGACTGCTTAGGGTAAATGTGGGTTTTGTTTCTGCTCCCATAAGTGGTACACAATCATATGGGAGAGGGGTAGGGTCTGCGTCCTCTGTCCAGTCTTGTTTTCTAAGGTGTGTGTTGTGATATGATGTGCGTATGTATGCCGTGTGTGTGCAGATAGCTGCAGAGCCCAGAAGGGGGCTTCAGGTCCCCTGGAAATGGAATTACAGATTTGTAAGCTGCCTAACAAGAGTGTGAAATGTAGACTTAGTCCTCTGGAAGAGCCGGAAGCACTCCTAACTGCTAAGCCGCATCTCTCCAGCCCTCATTCTTAAACAAGAATGCCAAGACTGCCTTTTGTCTGCCAGTTTGGCAGCACAGAAACCTGCTGGTTAGGAGAGTGGCCATCACCTCTGAGAGTATCATTTCCTTATTAAAGAGTAAAGAGAAGAAGAGGGGGTCTCTAGTGTACCCGTCCTTATGAGTCTGCAGTTTCTTGTAACATTTATGTATGTCTATCTGTATAGTGAGTGTGAGTGTGTGTGTGTGTGTGTGTGTGTGTGTGTGTGTAGATCAGAGGACAACATGAGGAGCTAGTTCTCTCTACTGTGTGGGCCTGGTGATCAAACTCGGGTCATCAGGCTTGGCAGTCTCCCTATCCATCTTGCCAGCCTCAGTATTTCAGCTGCTGCAGATTCTCCCTGATGCTGTCAGGGCACAGCAGTGAGGCAGAAACCACAAGGCTTACGGAGTCCAGGTTCTGGGGCCTTTCTGATCTAGTTCAGAAACCATGAGCATAGCAGGTTTCCTCTTTGCGGGCTACTGTTCCACCTGCAGATTTGGGAATAACACTCAACAAATACCAGGGCCTAAGTTCAGTCCCTGAGTCTGAGACAGAAGGAAAGGAAAGAAAGTAAAGGAGAGAGAAATAGAGATATTTAGAGAAAAAAAATTAGCATGTATCCCTTGATGTCCATATCGTGATGTCGGTCACACATTTGTCGTGAATAAAATCCCTGGAAGACAGCAAGCAAGGGACCAAGCTGTGCTCTCAGTCAGCTTAAACTGTAAGCCATTGTGTTTCCTGACCTTTCCGTAAGCTCTACAGTCTAGGGAGAATCCCGACATGCTCCCTGACCTCTGGATCAGAGGGAGGAGCTTGAAAAGCCTTAGCAGGCACATCCACAGGGTTTTATCAGGTATCAGGGGTATGTGGTCTAACTTGGATCCAGGAAATTAAGAAAAGAGGAATTTGTCTGTGCCCAAACATGTTTTTTTTTTTTTTTTTTTTTTTTTTTTTTGGCCACCAAGAGGGCAGGAGAGGGCATCCATGCCACAGGAGAGTATTCTCTGGCCAGAGGTTCAGAGAAACTGCAAGTATCCTGATGGACAGGGCATGAAATTTGGTATGGAGCATCAGGTCAGATGGTAGAAGCCGAGAATAACAGGCAGGGAGCCAACTAAAGGGACTGGCCTGGTCACCATGGGTACAAGGTGGGGAGGATGGAGGCTGTCAGGCCCTGTGCCACCTAGGCCAGCTGGAGCTGAGCAGGCATGCCCACTCTGTGCCTGTCAGCCTGTAGCACTTGGCTTGGGCCTGGGAGCTCATGGAGCCATTTCCAAGTTTGCAAGGAAGTTGTGGAGCCCAGAAATTGGACGTCTTCCCATGCCACAGTGTTTTTTTCTACCACAATCATTTATTCATTCAACATTTACTGACGTACATTATGTGTCAAGTAAAGCCTCGGGGACAGAGAGGAGGAAACCACAGTCCTCTCTCCAGCCCTTTAGCTCTTGTAATATGGAACTTCACGTATCTATCCGCAACAGGAAGGTCAGGCTGAGGGGAGGGAGTGCTGAGTTAGCAGGCATGGGATGTGACAGTTACCATCATTTGGTGGCTTCTTGCCTCCTCTATCCCTCTCCAGTCTTCAAGAACCTGCAAGAGCAAAGCCAGAGGCCATTTCATGCTTTGCCCATGGTGGCCATCAGCTGTCACTTAGCTTCAGCCAGACTTCACTTCTCTGGATCCCACCGGTTCTATAGTTTCCCTTTCTCCATTTAAAACAATTTTGATCTTAAGAATCAGAATATCAATAACTCACTGGGATTTATGTGTGAGACTAGTAGAAAACATCTTAAGTACAATTAAATAATAAGCCATACCTGGAGGAATTCATGGATGAGTGTTTTCTTCTCCTTAGACACCGGAAGGTTCTCTGGATTGCCAGGTTCAGATTTCTACCCTGGTTCTCCTCATGCTGGATCCTGAGCACAGTTCTTGGCACTTAGGCTTGCGTTAGTAAATTGAGAGTGGAGAGCACCTGGCCGCCACTTCCATGCACAGTTGGGTTATGGCCCAGCCCTGCAAAGGAAGCCTTAGCCAGCCCTCTAACCCCAACCAAGGACTTTTTCTGTCCCTTGCCTTCCAAGAACAGGAAAGACAAATGGCTTTCTTCTTCTCATTACTACTACTCTGGTAGACTTGTTACTGGTGTGTGTGTGTGTGTGTGTGTGTGTGTGTGTGTAGATAAAACTCTTAGATACTGTATGGTGAGTATCAGAACACATCAGAGGGTCCATGCCACTTTTGGCTACCTGGGAGTTCTTTCTAAATCTTTGGTTTGGCCTCAAGAAGACTAGGAGGACATGCTTCCTTATGTACTGACTAGCTGTTGCTAGCGTGCAAGGTGAGTGTACTTGAAATCGGTTCTTCTGTGGACAGGTGAGTAGCCACTGGTGAGACAGAAGCACTGGGCACTTTCTAAAACTTCTGCCTTTCATGCGGGAAAGCCAGAGGTTTGTGAGGATGCTGTCCCAGGAGGAGAGCATGTACTCTGGGTTCTGTATGCAGGACAACAGAACAAGGTGGTTTTCAGGGTCTAGCTGCTAGCAAGTGAGTCTTCCTTATACTGAGTGGCCTTGGCTCCCTTCTGGCTTTCTTTGCTTAGATTTCCTGGAGGAAGTGGACTGAATAAATGTCACCCCCACAGAGACTTGCCAGTTGACAGCTCTCAGTCACAAGGAAGCTGCTGGGAGATACTTCCTCCAGAGTAGAGTGGCTCACAGACCCCTGTGCTGAAGAAGGAGGAGCAGAGTTGTCTCATTTCCTGTTCCGCTGTCCTCTCATAGGCCTTGTCTCTCTTCCAGGACAGTTCCAGGGTCAGAAGAAGGGAAAAGAAGAAAGACAGCTTGGTGACAACTAAAGAGGTGTCTCCCTTCCAACACACGCCGCGGGGCCTATGTACGTCCACAGCTCTCACCAGCAGCTGTCCCCTCTCTGGACGGTGGTGCAGACGGATGGTACAGGTAGAATGTGCTCTCATTCACTGTCGTTAATGCTTTTCCTTCGCTGGGACGAAAGCAGCCTCCTCTGAGGAAGACACCGAAATAGGGGAGCCAGATGTGAGGACATACACTTCCTGTCCTGGCTCCTCAGGAGGCTGAGGCAGGAAGAATGCTTGAGCCCAGGATTCAATGTCAGTTTGAACAACTAATGAGGCCCTGTCTCAAAATATAGTACAGTAAAATTAAATTAATAAGCGGATGGAATGTTCCCTTCTTGTGGGCCTAGTTGCTTGCTAGGTTGACCCATATAAAGTTTCTTTACTGTTAAATCAAGACCAGTCAACTGTTGATAGGGTTCCTTCATGAGATGGTACACATTAACCATTTGTGTTCCTCTCATGCTACGACACCCCTTCAAAATTATTTTAACAGCAAGAAACTGGAGCCTGAGATTGTGCTGAAAGGAAACTTTCCCAGCAAAGCTCCACTTTGCTCCGACTTCAGGATATGTTGTCTTGAGATGTAGGACAATCAAAATGACTTTTGAGGCCCAGATAATGGTGGTGCAGGCCTTTAACCCTAGTGCTTGGGAGAGGGGCGCAGGAAGATAAGAAGTTCAAGGTCATCCAGGGCTATGTGAGCTCCTTCCTCAGAAAGCAAACAAAAGAAATAAAGGAAAGACAAACGGCTTTGGCTATCCTTTCCTTCACCATTAAAAAAAGAAGGAAAGCCTCTGAGATAGCCTCGCCAACCCTGACTGGACCAGTTACGGGACTCTGATTCAGAGTCCTTTGCTTCCATGGGTGGGTGAGATGGTGTTTTACTTCTCCATCATGGGAGGCTGTGGTGCAGTAGAGGAAGCAGGGTGCTGGGGTACTGGCTCGCAGCCACACCCCAGCGGCGGGAGTGCCATCCAGTCTTCAGTACATCACTGTCAGTGTGTATCTGTGGCCGCCTCTGGGTGTGTGTGTTTCTTTTTGTATCTCCGTGTCAGTGTCGGGCCGTGTGTCTATTTATGTCGGCCGTCTAGGCGTGCTCAGTGTGACAGGAGCTGGGGGCGGTGTTGGTAAAGGAAGACAGTTCCAAGCCTCAGCTCTCCCCTTGGGGACATCAGGATGCTGGTATATGTGTACTGCACATATATAGATACAGAGCTTTTGTCACGCTGTTTATTGGATGGGGGAATGCATTCAAGTGTCTGGCCAGGTATGGCCTGAGCAGTGGCCTGGCTGGGGAAGCCCCATCTGCCAGGAGCTGACAGAGTTGCCTTGCCGCCCTCTCTGTCCATGGGGAGCCCGTCCTTCGCAGTTTACCATGTACTCTCTAATTTATTAGATGAAAGGAGGAGAAAATGAAATGTTGCCTGAAGACAATGGCCGAGACAGCCCGTCCCACCCTGCACAGCCGCCAGCGCCTCCTTCCCCAGCCTTGACTCCTCTGTCGCGAGTCTGCACATTACCCTGCTAACCCTGAGGTAAGAGAGAAAAGAACCCCAAACCATTCTGTTTAAAAGTTATGCCCGCCCCCTGCACGTGCAGAGATAGCTGAGAGCTGAGAGCTGTTGAAGGAAGAAGCCACCAAGATGAAGGCCTGAGTGAACATAGGATCTAGCTGCTAGACCATAGACACAAGGCCCTTCATCCGCTCTGGGGCTCCCACCTCACAGTCCCAAGACTCCCAGATCCCAGCCAAGCAAGGGAGGGGCAAGGGGCCCAAGGCAGCTGCAGGGGCTATGTTAGTAAACACTTTACTGGCTTCCTATTTTCTTCACACACACCCCCACCCTTCTCCACTCCCTGATGCCCCTTACACACTCCCCCCCCCCCCAGCATCCCCCTTTCTGTGGCCTGCACAATGAGCTCATTGTCCCGGGTGTGATTTGAATAAGGGATCTGCGGGCCTGTTCCCAGCATTGTCCGAGGGGCTGGGAAAAACCCCAGTGCAGGCAGGAGGACCAGACCAGACAGAGACAGATGCCTAAATTAGCAACAAAGCTTTGTGCAGGTCCCCTGGACAAGGGCTCGCCTTGTCTGCATGGACTCAAGGGTGTGGAGCTGGCCGGCTGCTCGCATGTCTCCCCCATGTTAATTAGTTTTGCATGCATGTCTGAGAAGGTGCCAGGGGAGCTGTGTTTGCCTTCCTCCTCCCCCAGGAGGGGGCCCTGTTTGTGACTGGCCAGTGGGCTGGAGGCTGGGAAGTTGAGCTTAGCAGGGTTGGGCTGGGCCTACCTGGGGAGCTAGGCTCAGATTCTGGATGGGGATTCCCAGCTTCCCTGTCCTGCTGTTCTTTGCCCTGTGGGGAGCCTGGCTTTGCTCTCCGTGCCCCCTCCACTCCTTGCCCTGCTGCTGAAAGTTGGTCAGTTCTAACTATGGGGAACTAACTCATTGGCTTCTACCCAGACCTAGGCTACTGCCTGTCCATCTGGCAGTCTGTCTCTTGCGACACAGGGCCCCTTGGGACCAGGCAGCAGAAGCGACCAGTCTGGGCTCTCTTCTGTCCCAGAGCCAGATGGCCAGTCGGCTTATCGCATTACGGCCTCCTCTGTCCCCAGACCCCTGCCGTCCATTGCAGGTCAGGATCTTGTTTAGGATATGGTGAAGAAACTTCCTTTTAGGCTCTTGTAGTAGGGTGGTGGACAGTGTGCAGTCATGGCCTTGCTACTGGCTCACTGTGTAACCTTGGACAGTGCAATTCCCTCTGACCCTTAATCTCAGTAGCCGAATGATGAGGCTGAGCTTCAGGAACCCTTGCTCTCCTCCTAGCCGATACCTCTTTGCTGTTGGTGATCAGCTCAGCTTGTGTTCATTCAGCACAAAGACAAGGGTGAGACCAGTGGGTTCTGGATGAGGGCGGGAGGACTATGGAAGGACAGAGTCGAGGCTTTGTGTTTTCTGGGCAGGTGGTGGAAGTGAGGAATCAGCAGAGCCTGTCTCCTCGGGTCCTCCCTGAGTCCCGTGCCAGGCCTGCAGCTTCCTCTGGCCTGTATGCTGCAGTGGTGGAGAACCACTCCAGCCCAGCCCAGGTTAGGAGAAGCTGGACGGAGAGCAACTGCTGGCTGGGGCCCCAGCAGGCCCTTGGCCAGGGCACAGGGCACAGGGCTGAGAAAGGCTGGACACCTGCTGGGCTAAGCTCAGCCAGGCTTCCTAGCAACTTCCCAGGTCATGTCTTCAGAGTGTCTACCCCTCTCGAACCCCACAGGAACCCCAGGAAGTGAGGGGCAGGTATGCAGCCTTGCTCCTCTCATTCGCGGGCTCTTTGCCGGACTCTTCCCACCACTCATCCGCACAAGTCTTCCTTCTTGTGACCCAGCGTTTGGGTGACTGAATGTCTAAGCATAGGACTCGTCAGTACAAACTCCCTGCTCCTTTCAGATTAGTTTTCAATCAGATTAACCAAGCCTATGCCATTCTTTATAGACAGAAAGGAACTCTCTGTGTGTCTGTCTGTTCTCTCTCTCTCTTTCTCTCTCTCTCTCTGTGTTCGAATTTTAGCTAGGATCTCTGTGTAGTCCTGGATGTCCTGGAATTCCCTGTGTACTCCAGGCTGACCTTGAATTTACAGAAATCTTTCTGTCTCTGTCTTCTGAATGCTGGGATTAAAGGCACGTACCCCTACTCCCGACTACTGTGGGTCTTAAATAAGTTGGGGTGTCTTCAGATCCAGAAATCCTAAGGTCTTTAGGAAAATATGCCAATGCCCAGTTGGTCCCCTCTCTTGTTCCTTTTTGCCAACCTTCTGTTCTCAGACATGGTGGGAGGTACCCTGCTCTAAAGCAGGCAGCTGGTCAGAGACCCACGGGGAGCTTTGTGGTTGACCCCAGATGACCTTGTGGGACAACAGGTGAACCTAGGCTTTTCTCCTCCTTTAGCGAGTTTTCTGCCTCCCACCTCCCTTCATCTCAATACCCCTTCCCCTGACTCCCTGAGCTGTTTCTCACTCAAGCTAGGAGTCTGGTGGAGTCCAAGCTTAGTGAAGAAGAGCGCAGAAGCCAGACACAGTGAGCCAACTGTCTGCAGTAGGGGTGGGAGGAGAGAAGATGGCAGGGCCTTGGGGGAGTTGCCCACTACCCTTCCTGCCCCATTCCTCTCTTAGCTGCCTCAGCTGCTGCCTCAGCTGTATCTGAGCTCCTTAATCTAGTGATCAGTGTGGTGCTGGGAGGGCGGGCTGGCAGAGGCTTTAGGAGGTGACAAGGGATCTTAGGAGTCACACTCTGTTGATGGAGCATCACCAAGTGTCATTGCAAAGCTGGGGAATCACATTCCACGCGCAGCTCCCCCTCTGGAGGCAGCAGCCTTGGCTGGGCTGGACCCAGGATGGGTGGAACCCAGTGGAAGCTAGGACACAGCCCTTGCCTGCTGCAAGGCTTCACCTTGTTCTTTGTTCCTGAGAAGGAAACTTCCCAAGATTGGTGCTTTCTAGTCCTTTCTATGTGACCAGTCCTTTATTTTTCTGTAGCTACCCTTAACCGTACCTCTGCTCCTAGATCTTCCAGCTGCCAATCTCAATTAGAAGTGGTATCTGAAAAAATAAAAAAGAAGTGGTATCTGTTTGTTACAGGTCATCATTCCCCTGGTCAGTCAGGAGAATGCTATCAGAGCTGGCCAGGGGGAGATGTGTTCTACAGATGAGTGGTTATGCTAGACAATGCCTTCATATTAGTGTGAGTGGCTCTGAGGAAACCCAGACAGCTTCTAAAGAGAAGTCAGGATGTGAATGCAGGCCCATGTGGCCACCAGGAGGTAGGCAAAAGCCTGGCTGGAGAGAAGGGACAGAGGGACAGAGACGGGACAGAAGAGGCAGACACACAGCCCTGGATTCATGGGCACTTAGGTTCCTGAGTGTCCTGGGAGTTCGAAAGCCTCATCTGTAGTGTTGAACTAGCTGCTACCTGTGGAGCTGTGGTGACTCTAGCAGGCACACCATCTCTTCTCAGTAACTACGTGACAGAGAGGAAGGAGCTGAAGTTTTCAAGGTCACTCAATGTGGCTGTGTTTGGGGGAATGGAAACACTGGCAATATTCAGAGTATCAACTACCAACTGGCTTTGGTACCAGTATGGCAACTTGCCTGAACCAGCAGCCCATGAAAGAGGGCACAGCTGGACCCAAATCAATTCATTTGTCTTTTTGTCTCTCTGCTCCATCACAAAGGTGTCTGTTCATCTGCAAGCTCACAGCCTCCCTCGGGCACTTCCTGACAAGATGGCAGGATGCTTGATCCTGGGATCTCCTTTGCTCTCTCCAGGTTGGATCTGCCTTCCTTGGGGGCATGCCCCATCTGATCTGAGCTGCAGGCTGGCACTGGTGAAAACCTACCACAGCCTCTCTCTGTGGGGATGAGCTTCACCTGGGTCTCTCACTGCCCTGTTCAGCAGCTCTGTAGGCCAAGGAGTAGGGGCCTGTCCCCATTCTGACTCACCTCCTTATGCTCTGCTTCTTTCTCAAGGGAGCCTTAGTGGCTCCTGCTGAGAGTGTGATGCTGGAGATGGATGGAGCCATGTTATGTTACTGAAGAAAGCTTCTGGTCTCAAGGTAGCATAAGTCTTCAGTCCTAGAATTTTGGAGACTATCCCCTGCCTTAGACATGTGCACCTTGACAGTAATGGCTTTTACTGGGCTTTTCTCCTTACTGAAATCTTTCCCTTTCAGGGTCTGAGGTGGCCTAGTAAAAAAAAAACAAGGTCACGAGAAGATCCACTCATAAGTCAGAGGGTCCTCGGTTCTCCAGCCCACTGTCCTGCTTAGGACACAAGGCAAGCTTCTTCCCTCTCCGGACCTGGAAAAGGAACACTGCATACAACGGTGTCTGCAGCCACTTAGCCCCTACATTTTATAATTTGGGAATTCTTCTTTTTTTTCTGCTTTGTTACCTACAAGTCAGCCTACCCCTCTTCCTGACTTTCAGAAAAGTCAGCTTTTTCTCCTTCAAGCTGTCCTGGGACACAGGTCAATTCCTCTACCTAAAGCCTAAGAAGAAACAACCAACCAAAGAAAGAGAAAACCCAGAAGCTTGTCTCATTTCTGACCTTCGACATTGGACTGGAAAGTGGCCTGGGCCAGACAGTATGTTTTGGCTAGGTGTGCTTCCGGCCTGAGTCTGGATGCTCTGTCTTTGCCTCTGGTTCCAAATGTTCTGAACAGTGCCCCCGTGGTTTTAGGAAGGTTTGCCATATATTTGGGGCCTTTCCTGGGCCAGAGCCCCTTAGATTCTATGAAGGCACCACTTTTTCTTGATGTCTGGTTTCTATCCCTGACTTCCCCAGCCAGGTGGTTCCTCTATAGGCACAGCTGAAACGAGTCTGGTTGTGAAGTCTAGAAGGCGTGAAACCAATATCCCTGTATGGCCAGGGTGACCCTGGGCCAGTGCATAGCTTCCCTGAGCACTGTTTCCACGTTTATAAAATGAGAAGGGGGTAGAGAGGGGAGGGGATATGCCTCAGTGGTGGAGAGCTTTCCAAGCATTCTCAAGACGTTGGGATGTATCCTTAGACTCAAAATATAACAATAATAGTAGCCATGCCTTTCACATACATTACGTGAGATATAGAAATAAGTCCTTCTCCAACTTCAGGACTTCCCTGCTGGGGAGGTCCTGAGATGACCTTCATTTTCCCCTTCCGAGCCCTCATAACACCTGAATGGAATTCAGAGGGCATCTGCCTCCCTGAGCGCCTCCTGCTCACAGACTATTCCTCTTGTCTTTAGAGCGTCCTGCGAAAGGAAGTGATGGGTCAGGCTCTGTTCAGCTTTTCTGGAAAGAGAGAAGTGGCAACTCCTGCTAGGGTCACAGGACGAATACAGAGCCAAGCTGCTTCAGGAACAGAAGAATAGAGCAGGAAAGAAAATGCAATGTCACCACCCTGTCACCACCCTGAGGCCCCTGTACAGGGTGCAACCCAGCCACCAGGGACTCAGCAGGAGAACAGGGAAAGTGCTCCACAGCCCTCCTAGAGGGCCTCTGTCATTGACCAGCTGGCCTGGCAACTCCTCCACACCTGCCCATGCCACACCTTTCTGGATAGTTCTGGGTCTGCTGTGCTGTGGGACACTCTGTCCAGCCACTTGGGAAACGGAAACTTCAGCACTGGCATTTCTACCCCGGAGAACTAGGCAGCACACTGGGAAGCAGCCAGGGGAAGGGACTCCAGCCTCCCAGGAGTTAAAGATGCCTCTCCCCAGCTGTCCTCCCCTTGGTGCTCCTTTTCCTCCCTCCTTCTGCTCACAGCAGGCAGGGCCTGGAACCAGGAGCCATGCTGCTGTGCTGTTGCCAGGGGAGCTGGGAGGCAGATCGGAGCTATGCAGGGAAAAGGCTCAGCCTGTCAAAGTGTCTGAGATGAACCACCGCCATCCTGTGCAGCTGGGCTCAGATGTGTCTTGGCTCTTGTTCTGTGCCTGAGAACGGTGAAGCCCAGTGAGGTTCAAGGGCACACTCGCTATTCATTAGTCAGGGGTTCTTGACGTCCTGTCTCTCCCAGGCATGGGTTCCCCCCTTCCTCTTTCTCTCCCTCCTGTGACACATTCCTGGGTGCCTGTGGTGAGGACTGCACACCCCCTCCTGCATGGCCCCCTCCACACAAACCCTGAATCAACTCCTGTTAAGGAGACCAGGCGGGACAGAGACAATGGCTTCAAGAAACCATTCAGGCGGGACCCCAGTCACATTGGCCTTCCCTCCACTCCCAGTGACCCTACAGATCTGACTCTGCTGTGACTCGGGGCACCCTTGGGCCCCCAGCTTGCACAAGCCCAGACAGGAGCAGGCCACTAGGTGCTGCCCTACACAACAGGGCCAGTCAAGTGCTATTCTCAGTGGGCCCCTCGGTGGGCGCCTCTAACCCACTGGCTAGATATTTTTGTGCAGTTGTTTGGGGAATAGAAACTGTACAATATTTTCTGAAATGTTCCAATGTCAAAATTAAAAGGTGCATTTACTTGGATACTAATTTTATGACTAGGAATTTTCTCCAGATACAGTGGGAAGGTTTGCTAAGGAGCATGGACAAGGAAGTACGGTTCAACTAATGCATTATTTACTCCTGTGGAATGCTTCAGAGCTGTAAAAGTGTGGCAGATCTCTGCACGCAGGTGATATTCAAGGGTGACTGATAAACTTGAGTGGATATAATCTATTCAGATAAATAATAAATAAATAATAAATTACAGAACAATCAAGTATGTTCTTGTTTGTATACATTTAAGTCAGTCATGGAGTCTGAGTTATGTGAAGCTCGGTGATAAGATACATACAGCACACAAGAGGCCTAGAGTCAAATAAAATCTATCAGCCATAAGCTGTGTCTGTGTCTGGATAGTTCCTGAACACAGGCACTGGACGGCAAACCTCTGGGAAATGGGAGGGATTTCTTCTTGTGTGTTTGTTTGTTTTTGTCTCTGTGTTTCTGAAATGCTTTTATTGAAAACGAAAGGGTAGTAGTCGTTTAATAGGCTTAACTTCTCTCAGTCAATAAAGGGTAGGCACTTCAGGACAAGGTGGTGATGTGTCAAGGAAAAGTGTCTTAACAGTACTGGTGGCCTCTGGCCAATGGCATTACTGCAACCTAATAACCACACGTCACCACCATTGCTGCTACTATTAACCTAAAGCCCACCGTGCTCCAGGCTTAGCTTTTCTGGTTCTTGCTTAGTTGAGCATCAATTTTCAGTCCCTCCTATGCAGGAGACAGAGTAAGGAAATCAGAGGCACTACCCTAGAGTGGGTAAGTCAAGTGTGGCTCCTGATTTCCCTCTGGGAGGACCTGTTTCGAGAAGGGGGGGGGGGCTTTGTGGGCTGTGTTGATTAGGAGTAGGTACCCTTCCCTGCTTTAGCCCAATGGAGGTGCCCTGCTGGGGACAGCCTGCCTTCAGGAGTGGACTGACTCAGAAAGACTATCTGCATACACAGCATGTGTCCAGAGATGCACCACCTGACTCTGCTGCTCCCAATGCTAATCAAATGCCTGGCTTTACCCCCAAAGGAGTAAATTGCTTGCTAGAGGGTGTCTGTAAAGGGCAATGTGGAGCTGAGCTTTGAGGCCTAAATCCAACGTAGGTCTAGATACCACATCCCACAGAGCTCTGTGTTGGGTCCTGAGACCCAGGAGCCAGCAAGTAGAGTTGACCAGAGGAACCTGGGAAACTCATGGAGGTCCCTGGACTTTGATGGCGGCTGGAGGAAAGCAGCTGGAGGTGGGACTGTCAGGTGCCAGGCCTCCTGTTCAGGTGCAGGGAGCCCTGTTTTTATACTGTGGGAGGCACTGGTACACTCATTTTACAGGCGACACTGAAGTTCAGAAATGTTGTTACATGTTCCAAGTCACAGCTAAAAAGGGCCAGAACTGAGATTTGACACCCCTCTCATTGATTGCAGTCTGGACTCCTAACCCCAAATATATCCTGTTTGGCTGGGCCACTTAAAAGAGGTTCCCTAAGTCCAAACCCTCCTGGCCAGTTAACCTCTCCCTCCAAGGTTTCCATAATGTCTTACCTGGGGCCCTCCCTAATGCTATCTAATTTCAGCCTTGGGCTATGCCACGTCTTGAAGCCTGGGCACTAGGACTGGAGAAGGAATTCTGGGCCACATAGAGATTGGAGGCCTTGGGTTAGTATTGCTACTGGGGACTATGCTATCTGCCTCCTGAGGACTGGTCATCTGCACTCAGCAGTTGCTGTCCCTCCTTCGGGTCCTCTCCTGGACCCACCCCAGTGCTTCTCAGAGGTGGACCTGTGGGGGCTCCAGCAAAGCTGAGGCTGGAGGAGCAGACATGGGGGAGCCGAGAGGACACTACGGTTCATGAGCCATTGGAACTCTCCCGAAGCCATTGGTTTTTCAGGACAACGCTGGGGGAGGATTAAGAGAAATTCTGCGAGAAAGAACTCTTCCAACCCTGAGAGCCCTCTGCCTCTTTTATCTTAGCTCACAATTAAAGGCTTGAAAAGTCTTCTCTAATAATTTTTTTCTTGGGCAGACAAGAGTGAGGAAAACAAGACTCAGCCCCTGGCAAAGACAGCTCATGGTGTTTTGAGGTGTGAGGGGAAGAATGGATGGAGAAGCTTCAGAAAGCCTCAGACTGTCAGTCTCTCTTACCTGGGCTAGGGTCACAAGGGCAGCCAGAAGCCTGGCTTGTTTTTAGGCTGGAGAGTGTAAGAGTCTTGACATCATAAGTACCGGAGTTCTGAACTGGGAACCAGATCCCAGTCTGCTCCTAAGCCTCCAGTAATGTCTTCTCAATTTTCACCATGATCCCATAAGACGATCACATTTTCCACATTAGGAAACTGAGGCTCAGAGAGGATTAGAAACAGTCAGAGCCACGGTTAGGAAACAGTGGCCCTTGGGCTCGGGAGCTCTATGACCGGAATGGGAAGCAGGGGGTCATGAGGCTCTGAAAGCCTTTGACAAGTTTTTTCATGTATGCGCAAAATCACAATCACGCTTTCCTCAGTTTTCATTCTCACAGGCCCTTGTACCCCAGACAATAATTAACACTCTCTCGCTCCCAGCACACTAAGTGCTTGCGCAGTCCCAAATTACATTTAATCCTCAGGCGTTGGTGTGCATAGCTGGGCACCACCGGCCCTTATTCCCATCTAAGCAACGGAGAGGGTAAGGACCGAGAAGCTGTTCAAAGTGGCCGGTGCGAGTGTGAGCGGCTGCTGAGACATGAGACTTCAACAGTGGAATGCCTGTCTGTCCAGATGCCAGGCGCTTACCCAATGCCTCCCTTAAAGCTTAGTGGCTGGCCAGCCTGATCTGACCCCAAGATCCCAAATGAAAAACTCTCTGGCCGGCTCACAGCAGCCGGAACCACTGAGTAGTTAGAGCCAGAACCACCGACTACCAGGCAGCACTCCCCGGGACGCCCGAATCCAGCGGCCAGGGCGGCAGGCTGGAGCCCCAGGGCACCGGGAGGAGCCAAGATCCTGGGCTGGGAGGGGAGGACTTGGAGGCGGGCGGCACAAAGAGCTTTTTATTCAAATTTGTTTAGAGTTTCGCGAATTTGCATGAAAAATGTGTGAGAAAAGCCAGCTCCGGTGACCTCATCCGCACCTGCCATTAACGTTCAATTAGCGGCTGAATAGTGCCTGCCGACGCGACGTGCAGAGAATCCTGCCTGCCCCGCGCAGCTCGGCAGCGGGCCGGGCGCGGGATCGGGAGGAGGGGCGCGGCGGGGCGCAGGGCTCCGCCTGAGGCTTTGGACCCGACACCCAAGGCCTCCTCACCCTCAGTCTCAAGGGACTCTGGAATCCCAGGGCTCTGGAGCACCAGGCAGTTTGGAGCAAGACGGGGCCATGGAGATCCGGGCTCCCTAGGGTCCTGGCCGAGTGCTCTCCGGGCTCCCGGACCGAAGGTGGCGGGCTAGTCCTGTCCCGGCTCAGACAAGCTTCCTCGCCACCTTCCGGACAAAGTGTCAAGTACAAGTTCAAGTTCAGGGGCAGGCCCCAGGAGGAAGGGGTGGGGGGAGCCATCCCCAGCTGCCTTTGTTCTCCGGGATAAGCGCTCCCACGTTCCCCTCCCGGGCGGGGCCCGGCGCAGATACCCCCGTCCCGCCCCACCGTGCCCCGCTACAACCGCCTCCTCCCGCCCGTTCGGTGCCTGTGCCTGGGTCCTGGCGACCCTGCTCAGGGCCACGGAAGGTTCTGGGGGCTCGGGGCGGGTGGGGGAGATGCGCAGTCCGAGCCCGTGGGAGCCTCCCCGGCCCCGCAGTCCCAGCAGCAAACTGCGCTTGGTCGGACGGACGCCCGCGCGGAGGTAAGGACCCTTGGCGGGGTTCGTCTGCACCCCCTGTGCCCGGCCCCACGCTGGGCTCGAGCGACCTAGACCAGCAGCGCAGCGCGCTGCAAAACCGCCAGGTTGGGCCTCAGGGGGGCGCGCTGCGGCTCCCCACCGTAGAGGGTGCCAGACTTCAGGGGGGATGGGTACTGGGTCAGGGGCGCCTGGCGGAGGCTGGGAGAGATCATTGATTGGCCTCTTTCCCAGGGGCGGCTGGTTCACCATCTTTCTTGCAACACCCCCTTGGCCTCCAAGCCTGCATCTCTCTGACTTCGGCGCACCTCAGATTTAGCAGGGAGGGAGGGTACCGAAGCTAAAGCAGAGCTCCTCAGACTCGAGTCCCCTTGGGAAGGAGGACTGAGGTGTGCTTGCGGCTTAGCTAAAAGAGGAATCAGCGGTGCGCTCACTCCACTACCTCCTCCCCTTCTCCGGAGCACCTAATTGAAAGTTTTGTACCAAATGGCGCTTGCAGATGTGGGCTGAGGTGGGGTGAAACCCACTGTCAGTGCTGTGATCTTTATTCTGCCGCTAAAACCTCCTTGGGTTCCCGCACGCTTGATTCCTGGACTCTTCCGAGTTAGATGTAACCCTTTCCACCCCGCCCTCTCCTAAAGCGAAAGAACCACGGAGGGCTGCGTCAGAGCTGCCTTTCACTCTCTTCTTCTGGATTGGACACCGTTTTGGTGATACTGCGTTACATACTGTTCCAACATCCATGACAGTTGGTTTCTAAATTCGCAGTAAGTTAGAAGTGGAAAGTCAGAAATGTGTGTTCCCCGCTGCACCAGCTCTGCTGCTCCCCTTGGGTTCCTCTGCTTCGTTTGGGAGTCTCCTCCCTGACGTCTCCTTTATGGGACGCTGCCTGACCGAACTTTGACAAGTTCCTCCTTGCCGCCCAGGATGCTACCTCAGACTTCCATCATCTTCCCTCTCTCTCTTGACATCTTCAGCTGTATTGTCAATATTTATCAATAAAGAAAACGGTTTATTGATAAATGGATTTTTAAAAAGATACAGCATCAAGTTAAAAAGCTTTGAGGTTTGCATTCGCTTTGCTTTTTAATGTTCTCTTCCATGTAAGGAAAGGAACTCTCAGGTGCTTCATCTTTCTGTTCCATAACTTTAGGGGTCTCTTGCGCAAGCAGGGGCCATAGAAAGAAAGGGTGAGACGGCCTCTCTATGTGTTTTATTAAAAAAGAAAGGGAAAACATTTAGAGTGTTTTGTGAAAGCAAAAAGGAGAAAGCAGAAAGGAGCCCCTTCAACGCCATCCAGCCCTTCACTCAGTCTGACCTAGTATGGGGTGGCCTGGAAGAGCTAGGGGCATGGGACCCTCTGACAAAACCTTAGTGTGCTGTGGAGAAGCTGGCTGAAAGTGGGGGTCAACTTACCTAGAATCG